TTAAAGTTCTTGCACTTGTGTACATGGTTTATGTTTTCAAGTTGTTTCTTTTAATAGTCTAAGTGGTTGTTCGGCACCTGCTTTAGCTCCAGTTGTGTCTGATTTTAGCTCTCTTATTTTAAAGAGCAGCACACTCGACATACAAGAAATGAGCCTGATTTTAAGTGGGCTGGCAGGGAGTGAGTATGTGTGTGCGTAATCTCTAACTTCAGGCAAGAGAGAAGGTTGCGACTCTCTACCAAATGTGACTGGCTGCACGCTGCGCTGAGTGCATGTGTGTCTGCTTTTGCGGAAAAGGGAGCAATGTAATAGCCTTTTTGGCCATGCAATACAATAATATGGTTTGCTTCAGACAGTTAGCGGGGACAAGAGTGATTTTCTCAGAGAGACAAAGAGAGAGAGAGAGAGAGAGAATGGGAGAGGGACAATGGCAGAGAAACAGATATGAAGGGAGGAAGAGCAGAAGAGCGAGTGAGAGACAGATGGGGGACAAAGCTAAATGGATCCAACTCATCCACGCTGATTTTGACAAATGGCACAGTGACAGAGAGAGATGACTGTGACACATACACACACACTCACTCTCTCCCTCTCACACTCTCTCTCTCTCTCTCTCTCACACTCTCTCTCTCTCTCTCTGACTACAAAACTAAAAGCATCAATGATCAAGTGTCACAGTGACAAAAATGGTTTAAATCCAAACTTAAAATTCAGCTAGAACAGTAAAGCAGATTCAAGTGGCAAATAATTGAGAGCAGTTTGAGACAGTCAGACACACACACACACACACACACACACACACACGCACGCATAAACACCACCCACCTCCTTCACCCCTTCACTCCAGGCTTGCAGACATAAGGGAAGCGTGCCTGTCACAGCACACTAAGCCAACAGCTAGAAGCGACAATCTGACTGAGCGGTCTGGCGGCACTTCAGAAACTGTTATTGATCTGTCTAGAAGTCATGTTGTAACGACAAAAGTACAAGACTTGACTAGGTAACGTCACATGCTACTGCTAAGATTGTGTTACTAATATCCTCTTTTTCCAAAATTAACAAAACTGCCATTTGCACTTTCTTGAAAACAGTGATCATACACCAGAGCTGCCCTAATTTTTTACCTCACAATAAAATACAGATTAAAATGTAAATTTAGCACAGGCAGGTGAAATAACCCAATATAATCCCAACATGAAATATGATTCTAAGCAAAATGAGGCTAATTGAGGTGGGGGACTAAAAATTTAAGTAAAACAAGCAGTGGTGCAGCGTGGGAAGACTAAAGTCAAGTATGATAGGTGCTAAAAAAAACTAAAGCAGTTTAAAATATATCCACATTTTTAAATTTGAAGTACTGTCACACACAAAAACAACCACTAGATGTTAATTTATGTTTAAAATCAAAATGCAACAGTGCACATAATAGATACATGACTTATCTCTTGGGGGTGTGAGTACCCCTAATATAGATATAGGTATAGATATATAGCTATATATATATATATATATATATATATATAATCAGTAATGCATAATTCCTAAAAGCAATTCTATATTTAATATTTCAATGCGCTGATTTGCCATAAATTTAGTGCCAGATTCTAAACATTTGAAAAGCTAGCATTGGCCATCTAAGCTAGCCTTTAGGAAGGAACCACTAAGTGAAGGAAGTGGGTGTGTTTGTCTCACCTACCTGTAACAATATGTGAAGACCATCATCCTTCATACTGGAAAAGTGTCCAGTTTCCTGTGACAGTTAATGTCCTTCAGCACTGAAGACTCCTCTGATATTCTGGCCAAGTGTCCAACTCCCGCCTCTCCATATGCATTAATATTACAACTCAGTCCTTTTTACTACCACAGGTCCAGATCTAACTGATAGTTGTGGCCAACGTTAGGCCTCCCAGCAGCCACTGGTTTTTACAAACATTCCAGAACTGTAACAGCAGCCACTAGTTTTTACAAACATTCCAGAACTGTAACAGCAGTTGGTTTTTACAAACATTCCAGAACTGTAATGGAATTCGTTTTTTTTACAAACATTCCAGAACAGTAGCATCCGTTGCTGCTAATTAGCATAGCTGAGCTCTAGCTAGCTAAGTTACAGTTAGCGTTAGTTCACAAAAACAAGGCAGCTGACATACTTAGTAACAGTAGTAAACTAACGTACTTTCCGTGTGGTTTCATTCGAACTTTACATGGTTTAATTGACATTTGAGCCAAAGCTGCATTAACTCCCCTCTAAAGTTATCCCTAGAGAAATAATCCTGACCATTGTTTCATTAAGTTCCTGGCACGAAGTCACTAATCAAGGGATGCCAACACACCGGGGGATAATGAATGCCAAATCATTGTCCGATTTCCAGTCCCACATTTCGCCATAAATGGATGTAGCAACGTCTCTAATCACCCCTCTGTATATCGACACTCCCTTCTGCTCCGCCAGCCAGCAGACAGACCTGTCAGAAGAAGGGCAGAGACAGGAGCATCTGCGCGGTTCCAACAGCGCCAGAGCAGCTGCTGCGTGGCCATTACGCACAGCAGTGGATATTACAGCGCCCATTGCGTTAATGCATCATATGTACCTGTAAACCATCATCGATGGTGATATCTCAATCATGTCAAAAGAATAATGATCAGTGATTATACTAAAACAGACTAAGCTTAGTGATTCACGATTCAGCATTAAATGAAAAGAGCATTGAGAGAGGGAAATTATGCCTCAAATGTAAATATGCAGCCCTCATAAGCAGTTAATTCCAATGAAATCTATAAAAGTGCCTTTGATTTTTTTTTTTAGACAGAGAAAAATAATTAAATCAGTGAATTTATTGTAAGGTTACATCTCTCACCTTATATTTCTTTTGCATCTTGTGTATGGTAATGAATCACTTTTATGGAAAAAATCACCAAGCTATCAAAGACAAAAAACTAAATTGAATACACAGTTGTACACTAACCCAAAGCCACCTGCAACCTGGTTTACCACAGTCTCATTATCAGTCCACCAAGCTGTATTATTGTATGTATTATTGGATTAATATGGCAGACCAGAGGGCCGCCCTGGTAGCTCACTTGGTAGACCCCCATGTGCCAAAGCTGCATTTTTTTGTATAAATAAGGTACCTAATAAAATACCATCATGTGGATTTCCTCTTTAATAACACAATAAGAACAAGGTTGTTTACTTCATTTTTCACAAACTTCAGTTTTGTTACCCAGTACTGTACCCCATAGGCAGGAGTTTAATTAACTTCTCCTTTCCTCCCTCCAGACATTTGTTACTCCCTTGTTCTCCATACTTATTTTCTTCCGCTGTACCTACATCAGTATTTTATTGGTAAATGATTTATACAATGTTTAGTGCTGGCAATGAAGGACATTGTCTGTTACCAAACACCTACAGGTTGGTTGCACAGTTGTACTTTCTCAGAGTCACTTTACCCTGTTAGAGGACCACTAAAAAGCTGTTTGTGTTTCAGTTATATATTGATTAAAAAAATATTAAATCAGCATTATATTCAACTTAAACAACTCACTTTGTGTAGTCAATAAGCACAACAGCAGCCTCCTGCCCACGCAGGTTCTCCTGCAGCATTACATCAAACAAAAGGACAGTTTTGTGGCTCTTGTGCAGCGAGCCATGCAATTTGCCTGCTGTGTGTTGAACTGTACCCGCACTGTTCACCCGAACGCGGCATGGCAATCAAAACAGACAAACGGTATTGGTTGCTTGCTGGGTTTAGGCTGAAGGTCAATCTGGGCTGCTCAATTTTTGTTTCACCAGCTGTTGAGTACGTCGACCATGATTTTCATTCATACTGCCTTTGATTCCACTCTTCATTCATATGGAATCTATTGATTTGTCCAAAAATATCTTAACTCGGGGTCCACTTACGATGCTCAGTTGTCATGGAGATTCTCCAGACAAAGCTTGAACTTCATGTTGACCTTCACTGACCTTCCTTAGTTTAAAAAATGTGAGAAAATACTGAAAAAATGTGTCACCATTTACCAGAATCCAAAGTGATAAAGTTACATGTTCTGTTATTGAATTTACAATGACATTAAATAGCAAAAGGCAGACAATACTAAGACTTAACAGGCTGGAACTAGCAGTGTGTAATTGTTGCTTGGCAAACAGTTATCAGTTATCAATAATACTTGACGATTTACCAATCAATTCATCGTTTTAGCGCTTGACTTTTTGGACTACATACACAAACACCAGAGATGCAAATTTTACAGCCTAACAGCAAAAACACAGCCCATAGCCTGATCTCGTTGGACTTCAAATCTCTGTTAATCAGCAGTGTGTTTACTGATGTGCTGACCTTCTGTGGTGTCAATTACAGCAAGTTAGAATCAAAACTGGTGTCTTCGAATCCTGTGTGTTTGTGTGTGCTCGTCAGCCAGTCATAACCAACACTAATTGAGTGAGTCCAGAAATGAGAAGTGTGCACAGGTCCTCCCTAAGGGGTAAACAGTCAAAGTCTACATCCCACACACACACACGCATGCACACAAACTCATTCTAACGTAATTGATTTTCTAAACACTTCCATACTTTATGGTCACTGCCAAATGAAAACTCACTCAAATAGGTTGGAGGCTAATGTCAAATGAGGTAAAAATTACTTCTGTCTGCTCCCGCTGCCGTGTACTACAAGTCCACTCGAATGTTACAGCTGGAAAAAGTTTTTCTCAGTCAAATCTCTATGAGTGATGGCCCCTAAAATTCTATATCTGTTACTTTGTTGTACAGTCTGCTTTCAGTCTTTGATTTTATTCATTCTTTTCTTCAGGGATTTGTACAGGGAAATCTTTGCAGCCTGAGAGATGGAGCCGAGGTCCCATAGATTCACTGCTTTATTGCTTTGCTCTTATTTGGTAGGTAGCAGAACTCATTTTCATTGCTTTTATATGTCCCAGACCCCTAATATTATAATGAAAAGCCTAACACTAGTGAGGGAAAATCAAAAATGATCTCCACTGAATATTTTCATCACTTTTATTTGTATTAAATATTAACAATAAGGAGACAGTGGACAAAAAGTCTTTTGATAAAACATTTCTCATGTGAACAAACAAACTGTGAGAGTGACAAAAAACAATCTTGGACAGAAACTGAAAGGAAATACTTTGGGTAAACACACACTGCAAGTTTTTTTTTGATCACATATAAGCCCATCAAACAGTGCTTGTCCAACAGATAACATTTCAAAACTGTTTGAAGGACTGTGTAAAGTGAAAAACAACGTCAATTATCTGAATGAATTTATGTGCTAACTGGTCAGAGGCTCACAGTATGAGTCTACCCAACAGTTTCATGTACTTAGACACAGACTTCAGCAGATGAAAAAGCAGCTTTAATAGATTATCATCATCTGTCATCCACTTTTCTGACAGATAGGCAAAGGCTTCTCTTTCAAAGTTGTCTCAAGCAGAAATAATCATAGTGCAAAGGCTGGATTTCAAAGAGGAGAGAAGTTGAATCGGTGACCCTTCACCTATGAGCGAGTCAACAGGCCTTTACGTGTAAAATTTTAGCAAGCTTGTCTGATTTGTTTTCTGATGTGTAACTATAGCCTGAAACCCTTTGGAAACAGCTCAGACCTCCTACTGCATTTGCCAGTGAAACAAAATCTTCACCTATTCTGTTGTGTTTTAATCACTGGTGTTCCAACAATGTATGTGAACCCCTATTCTTAAGTGTCATTAACAAGAGCATGAACGTTCCTGTTCATGAACAGTGAACATCAACAGTTATAATCATTTATGTACAATTATACAGTTTTATTTCATTATTACAGCAATTCAAAAAGAAACAAACATATTTAAAGTAAGCACATTAAAAGCTAGGACAGTATAATATCTGTGATTCATTCAAATTAAAAACAGTAACATCATGATTAATATTATTATTGTCACTTCCATCATGATTATTATCATAGTATACTATCTTTATTTGTTATATGAAACTGGTTCTATGGCAATAAATATAAATAAGGCAGAAAACAATAAATAACTTCCCAACAAATGAGATGTAGTGTTTTAAATGCACAACATGCTGCTGACTAAAGTGAAGAATGGAAGTTTGTGAGGTGTATCCACTTCATGATTGCAGAACCTTGTTTCCCAGCAGTGAAATTCAATATCGGTCCACTCTTAAAACACGACGAGAAAAATGTCTTTAAAAGAGCTCAGTGCAGTGCCACATTTGAACTGCCATCTCAGATGTGGATTTTTCCTTTTCGTGATATGTGACATAACCAGAAAACTACCTTTGTGGTTTTCCAATTTGAACACAGCTGAACTGAACACAGCTGTTTGACACACGGTGAAAAAATAAAACCTGAGTGGGCAGTGCTAACGGGGCCAGATTCTCCCTTATGACATTTCACATGGTGTCAACTACATTATGATGCATGCACTGACGACGGATGTAAATAGCAGCTCATAAGAGGTCAGCCAGCGACAAAACGTTGTTACCCTCCACCTGTAAACAAACCAAGCAGGGGATGTTTAGTTCACATTACAGCTGCGGTTCTCAGCCCGGGTTCTTGGGAGCCACATTACTGCTGCCGTATACCCTACCAGGTAGTTAATTGCATTCACCAGGTGTAAAATTATTCCCCGATTATACAGCTGGAATCAAAATGCGGCAGCGCTTCAGGTCCCAATGCCCAGAACTGAGAGCCACTGCAACAGAGTGTGATAGATACACTGTAGGACAATAATAAGCTGTGGGTAAGTAAGCTAAGCAGGGGATAGAGATGGAGGCAGACCTGGGATAGAGGGAGAAGGAAGATAACGGAGAGGAAAAAAAGGAAGAGTGGGATGCTGTGGGACAGAAGGAGGAAAATGTGTATAAGGAGAAACTAAAGGGGGATGAGGAGTGGATAGATAGGAAAAGGGAGAAAATAGGGTAGAGAAAGAAACAAGGACAGAAAGAAGAAGGGACAGGGGAAAAAAGAGGAAACAGTGTGCAAGTGAAGCAGACTAGAAGGGGAGTTGAGAGCTTTCACCAGTGGGAGCAGAGCTGTCTTCCTTCAGGCTTTTCTTCACCTCTACCAGGTCCTTGCCTCATGAGGTGTGCATTACAACACACACACAGATGATTTAAACAACTTCCCTACAGCCAGGTGCTGTTTAGAGACAGACAAGGTCAATAACTTCTTCAAAATCTAACATTTTCTGTAAACGCTGAGAGCTGTGATTTCTGGCCTGCACTCAGCAGCCGGCTTCCACCTCTCGGTTGACATTATAAGATATGTTTACCCTAAACCCTATGTGGGGGGGGGGTTCAGCAAATATGTTTAACTGCAGCATATTAAAAAGGGTTGTTACGCAGTCCAGTCGTTCACAGATGTAAAAAAGGGAAAAAAAAAAGTTTTCTCACTTATTAAATTGTGACACGCTTTGTCCTGAAAGTGTGAATGATGTTGTTCGACTCATGGCAGTTTCAGTATATGTAAATCTCACTCAAAAGGTAGTCCTACTGTCCAAAACAACATAATTGCTAGCCTTGTTTTACCAAATGCCATCTCATTAGGTCAGTTTTTTTTGTTTTTTTTTAAAGAAAACACATCTGAGATCAGCAAGATAAAAGACGGCTAAGATATAAGGACTGGGTATCAGTAAAACAAAACTCAGAGCTGATGCTTTTACAAATGGGATACTTTGTGAAATCATGTTTTCTGTTTCTTTCTTGTCATCATTTGATCAAAGTAAACAACTTTCTATGCAATATTTGTTGTCATTTTTCAAGCAGAATCAGACTCTACTCAATTGATTGCCTCGGTAAGAGTGTGATAGAAAACGTGTCAGCCAACTGTAACGCTATTATTTGAAACATTTTTCCTTTTTTAATCTCAAAAATGGATAGTGACACTGTCATCTAGAAAAGCACCAGTAAGTATCCCTGTTCAATACCCAGCCCTAAAGAAGATCTGAAGGGCTTCATTCCAAAACCTGATACTTGTTTTTTTCCATTTTGGAAAAAAAGACATAATGCTTCTTGTACCAAATCTAAAAATCTTGTTCTGTTCAACCTCATTGTCTGGTGTATTTTGTTACTAAAGGGTTCAGTAGTGCTAGTTTCTTACATTTTGTCTATTCAAATGGCAGATGTCTCATTTTAGAATGAAACTCTTCATTTCAGCTTCTGTATTGTACTAATCTAACATCGCAGATACACATTGATTCTCGTATATAATGTGGGTAATATTGCAACACTGTATTTCTACAAAAAAGGTGGTCCAGTATTAAGCCAAAAGTACAGCTAATGCCGTAATCGATGTGAGCAGGAGAATGATACTTAGTTCTCAGAACACTCTACAAACGGGCTCCTGTCATTAAAAGTTGTAGCATATTTGATTCCCTTCTTGAAACACTGAGGTGAGAGTTGATACTGAATCATTAAAAGATTAAAAGTCATCCAAATCCCGCTTCTGTTGCAGTACAAAATGCTCACCTGTATTTTGAATACATTGTAAAAAGCATGCAGTACAAGGGTCATGGTGGAGATATTCATCTTAACATGTATTTTTATCTGGACTTCTGTCATCAAGGAATGAGGAGTAGATCTGATGTAGGATTTTGGCAAAGTGAGAATATATCCTTACCAGCGCAAATTATGGTCAGTCCCATGGTTTCCTTAAGCAGCACATGGTTTTAACTGGTATAAATGACCAAATAAATGGATACAAAATAAATCTTCAACAAAGTACACACAAATACATACCTCATCTCTTTGTTCAGCTTTAACGCCCAGTAATTTGTGCAGATGGTGAGGCAGATGATGTCTCTGTGTCAGAGTGTGTATTCAAGTGTGTGTGACTAGATCTGTGCGTGTGTGCAGGGCAATGTGGTTGTGAGTCTGTGTGCACTTTGTGTGTCTGTGGGCGTAAGCACATCTAAACTGTCAGCATGACGCCACGTGGGAGTTCTGATAGACGGGTGAGTGCCTTTTTCATACTCACAGCTGAAATGTATGTGTGTGTGTGTGTGTGTGTGTGTGTGTGTGTGTGTGTGTGTGTGTGTGTGTGTGTGTGTGTGTGTGTGTGTGTGTGTGGCCTTGCATGTGAGTGTGTGTTTAAGTGAGCAAATCTATGAACAAAATGTCAGCAAAGGGCTGGTGTGGATTGTAAAGAGAGACGTGATAAAGCGTGATTGTGAGGGGGGAAATGGGACACGAGTAACTTATACTGAAGGAGCAGCAGATTTTCTATAGAGTCACCCATTTCAGTCAATATGGCTGCTTATGGTTGGGATGGTGTAAATGTTCGTGTGCCCTCAACTGTCTCTCTGCGTCAGAGCTTGCAGCTCGGAAGTATGTAGGGAATGTTGGAGGAAGACGTTTTTACGACTGTAGCTATGCAGAGACAGAGGGCCTCGAGGTGGCTGTCCCAAACGACCCGTAAACGAGGAGGACGAGGAGGAGGAAGAGGTGGCGGAGGAGGGAGTAGGAGGCGGAGGGGAGGCTTGGACGGATGATGAGATGCTTGGAGAGGGGCTCCCTCTGCTAGCAAGACTGTGGAGGCTCGAGGAGGAGCTGGCCCCGACTGCACGAGGGATATGGCTAAGAGGTTGGTGCTCTCCTCCTCCTCCTCCTCCTCTCCTCACCCCACCTGGCAGACTCACTCCACCTCCTCCTCCTTGAGTTAAGGACTCAGAAGAAGTGGACACCCCCTCTGGCTGCCTGGAGGACAGAGATGGAATTGCTGTGTGATTAGAAGCCGCCGAACTGGAGCCTGAGCATTGGTTTGGACTAAGACCCGGGTGTGAAACTTGAAGCTGGGCTGGAGCAGTAAGTGAGGATTGGGCTGACACTGCAGAAGTGGCAAAGGACAGGCCGGAGGAGCCTGGAGCCAGATTCGGAGCAGGGTTATGGGCTGTGGACTGTGCCAAGACCCCCTGGCAGCGTCGCTCCTCCCTGGCAGTGTGTCGTTCAGAGGCAGAAGTCCGGCCGTAAGGAGGTGGATAGTAGTGCTGGTTAGAGAGGTCCCCTCCGAGTGCTGCCCCCACACCCCGTACTACCCTTCGGTCCCTTGGAGCCAGACTGCTGCTGCCTAGTCCTGACCAACGGCCTGGATGATTGGTCTGAGAGAGAAAGACAAGGAGAAACACAAAAAAGACAGATGTTAAAGAGCTTTGTCTGTGCCAGTGAGTGAGCGAGATGTAAACCTGCCGTTTGCCAGAGAATGATTCACTGAACACGTCTCAAGACAAAAAAAGAGCGTGAGAGAGAGAAACGAAGACACAGAGACAAATAGAGGGACAGAGAGAGCACTGTTGTGTGATCAGTATAGATTGTTAATTGGGTGACATTTGGAGAACGATCTCTGAGCTCCTGCAGCTTGTTCTAATTGTTTCTAAACCAACCGGAACCCTGCTCACTAAAGAACAGGCACACACACGCACACACACGCACACAGACATAAAGAGAGAAACAGGACAAGTTACCATGTGCATGTATGGAGATACGCGCTCAAGGCATGCACAAATCCCCACTCACAAAGCAAACACACACACACACACACACACACACACACACACACACACAATGGGGAAGATGGCACTTAAAGCTAGATGGCAGAAACAGAAGCCACCTGTTCTCTTTCACACTCCACTGCACCCCCTTATGCAACATATCTCATCACTGTCCCCCTTCTCTCTCTCTCTCTCTCTCTCTCTCTCTCACACACACACACACACACACACACACACACACACACACACACACAACCAAAAATCACACCAGGACCAAGTGTGCAATATTCGCTAAAGTAACACAATCTCTTCTGACACTGAACCTCATGGGAGCGTAAGTTGAGTTGACATTTGCTGACACAATGGCTGTGTGTGTTCTCTTGTGTGCTTATGTATGAGCATGCGTTTGCGTAATTATATATGCATCTGATGTGTTCCCGTTTGTGCATGCAAATTAATATTAAATGTAATGTAATTGCTGTGTCGAGGCTGTCGGCAGGAATCTGGTGTGAGAGGTAGAAATGTAATTAGCCAGAATAATAAAAACTGAATAAGTAAAGTATAGCAGAAAGCACATCAAAGAAGGAAGAGAGAACTTGGGGAGATCACAAAGAAACTTACAAACGATGCTTACTGGACAGAGAAATGTTAGCTGTGATGTATAACAGGCTAAAGTATCACAAGTACCGACAGATAAAACTAAGGGCGTTTTCACACCTATAGTTTGTTTGCTCTGGTCCGAATCAGGGACCAACTTGTTACAATGTTGCATATGGCCTCGTGTTTGTGTTCACACGGCAGCATTTACAAGTGGACCAAAAAGTGTGATGCGCAAGGAAACTGCTCTCTAACTGGTCAGAATTTCCATGCAGGAAAACTCCTGGAAGTAAACAAAGAAGAGCAGACTCCAGAGCGCCACTTTTCAATTTTACAATGGAGGGACAACTACGCGGGTTGCTCACGGCCCTGGTCACCGTGTATTACATAGTTTGCACTTATCACTGTAGGCAAACGGTACAGTTGAATGAAAATGTCATGATGCACTGAAGTCGCCGCCGACGCATATCAAGACAGTTGAGGCGGAGGCGCGCATCAATCCTCCTGAACTGTGACATGCTCATCAGCCGAAAATATTGCCGAAGAACCATCAGGCAACGTTACGCCGGTCCAAAACAGGCGCAATGCTTCCTGCAGTTGGGTCGGATCGAGGTTGGATCATGTTCTCACCACAAATGAACCGTACCAGAGTTTGTTTGGAACCGGACCGAGACCGGCTCTTCAACAAGGTCTCGGTCCGGTTGTTTTGGTCCGCACCTGAGTGCGATTGATGTGCTCACACCTTCCCAAATGAACTGCACCAAGGGGGTAAACGCTCCAGGGTTCGATTCAACCGAACTAAACAAGTCAGGTGTGAAAACGCCCTAAAAAATGAGGAGTTAGCTGTACTGCAAGCACTATATTGGTGATTCTTCAATAGAACTCAATACAACACACGTTGGCGGAGGTGTGAGGCACCTATTTTCCTCAACATGTATCATTGCAAGTTGACACTAGTCGTTTTATCAGCACATACCACTGTCCTCTTTCCCAGCGTCAACGCACGTCAACACTTCAGAGAGGTTGCAATTTAATTCACTCTCTGCATTGACCCCTCTCAACTACTGTGATTTGACAACTTCTTCTGTCTACATGACATGTCGAGGGTGTGCTGCACTTTATAACACCTTTTTGTGGCGTTTTGTGGTGTACATCGAGTTCCACAAATAAGTGGCCAGTGTCATGCTAGTGATTTGGCTCAATACTTTCTATACTGCTGTATTCTAAAGCTCAGACAAAAAAAAAAAAGGAAACGTACAACCCTTATTGTACGGTGTAAACACCTGACAGATTATATTTAATAAATAGTCCCTTTCATAAAAAAAAGAGAGTCTTACTAATTATACTATGTGGTTGGAAATTCTGTAATGGCTTGTGAGAGTTTCCAGCCCCTGAACACCACCAGACTTTTAATATCTTACTGTGAGGTGCTATTTCTGGCTTTTTTTGCATTTCAAAGTATGAAAGGATTCTATGAGGATTTAGCTGTGACTGTGCTGGGCTCTAATTTAGTCTGAGGCAGTGTGGAGTACAAGGTGGGGTAAATATGATAAATAAACAAGGTCCTGAGAACAGTAGAAAAAAAGAACAAGCGAACAGGGTTGGCCTTGCTTTGAACCTTTCTGTTCTTGATACTGATCTCTGTGATAAGGAAATACAAAGATTTTTCCTTTCTCATCTTGAAGATAAAGACTTTTATTTTACACAATTGTGTGTATGCCAGTTCATTCAGACCAGCTGACAAACACACAAAAGACTGTTTCATTTGTTAATAACATCTTACTCTGTCCATGCTGCTTGTGTCTGATGCTTGTATTCCCCCCACTTCCAAAAACCACCAAAATCTGAATTACAGCCAAACAATCTGCACTTTAAAAGCTCAGTCTCTATGTCCTTTCATGTCCAACTGTAAAAAAACCACACACAACAGCACTCTGCCAAAACATCAAACAGTGTGTCGTTGTCTATGCAGCTTACTTAAAGAGCTCGGGGAGTGTGTCTCTGCTTTCTAATGGGCTCTAATGGGTGGATAAACACTACAAGACTTCTTGCTGATTCCTTGATCTAATTAAGAGGAGTGAGAATTTCCATTCCAGCCAAATTTTCTACATAGGGGCGCTGTGAAAAAACATGAGGGAATTGCCAAGGTGTTGAATATCCACTGTGGCCGTGGAGGTTTATGTGAGATGGCTTAATTAGGGCTAAATCGCTAATCTTCCACAAAAATCTGTGGCGTTTCTCTATCCAAAGACATTTGAGAAAACAACAGAAGGTAAGGCGAGAACAGTAAGATACAAATTGGCAGACAACTTTGAAAGAAATAATTACGAGGCAGAGTACAAAGAGTTGGTTGTAGAGACATATGCTCTGTATCAAAGGGACATTTCTTATCCAAGTTTGTAACAAAAAAAAAAAGGAAAGCTAAACAATTAATCAATGCAATGACTCAAATGCAACTAAAACTGGGATTAAGCTGAGGAGGCGTATGTGCGAGTGCACAAGAAGGGCAACCAGACAGAGAAGGAAAAAGGTCAAGCACAATGAAAGAGAGGAGTAAACAAACTGAGAAAAGGGTGAGGAGACAGGAGGAAAAAGAATGAGAGACTGGCAAGATGGTGATTAAAAACAGAGATAAAGCTAAATGAGAACAACAGACAGCAAGACGCAGAGAGAAAGAGAGCAGAACTGATTTACAAACTCAGGTGTCCTTTCTCAAGTACACACTCTGCGGCAAGCAGGCTGCCTCTTCGCCAGTGACAGAACGGCCTGTGTGTGTGCAAACACTCTGGAGAGTCTCTATTACACACAGAGACCTATAAATACACACACACAGGTAAATCTGAGTGATTTAAGGGGGCCTTCTCCTGCAACCTTAGTTTTTATTGGGCAGTGAAGAACACAGCAATGTGGTAATGGCCAAGTTTGCATAAAATAGCTCCTTAAACATCACCACACAATGTTTGCTATTGCCTGTCTTAGTCATTTTTATACAGGGAGAAGAGAGGGGTTGGGAGATTTATTTCATGACTTGTTCCCCACTCAAATGAACTAAAACCAAGTAATTATAGAGAACAAAATGGACTATAGAGTACATATAGTACTCCTACTGTAACTGCCATCAATCACACACCATGGCTCAGTATCCCTGCACCCACACACCTAATTTTAATGAAGGCCACAGGGCTGAAATGCGTTGGACCCCAAAAGTTTTCAACTCTTCACAGTGAGACTAGAGAGGTAAAAGTTTGCAAATGTGAATTCTTTTTTTTTCTTTGACACCTACATACTCTGTGAACAAAGTAATCCTGTGGTTCTTTGACAGTATGAAATGCCGGGGTGTTTAGATACAATGACAGTTGAGTACACCCACACAGATGGTACTCTAAATCCTATTTAGACAATAACAAAATACATTTCCCAACCATAATGTGTGAGCCCAACCATCCCACTTCATCCTGTCTACCTTTATTTCAACAGACAGTCTCATTTATATTTGTTTGCACATTTATGCCCAGTGTGACAGAAAGGTAGAGTTGACTAGATCCAAGAACGTAGGACCCAAACTGTAATTTTCATCTTGCCTCTTAAACAATAATTACACTGTTGATATTGTTCTGTAAGGACAAACATTGCTTTTTAAGTTCTGAGGTAGTAGACAATACATCAAGATAATTTGAAGAAATCACAAAAGCAAAGAGCTCTAATGCGCTGCTAGTGCTGTGTGTGCAAAGCAAGCTGAGCAACTTGATGTCAACAATCAAGAATCCCACAGTGCTACTACAACTACATGCCCAGAAAGTATCATCCAGTATTGATAGACAGGGTGTGCACAAGCAGAGTCTCCCACAAAGGCACTTTGCTGGATAAATCTGCAACAAACAATGAAATCAGGGGTGAAACTGTATCCTGAGCCTGGTGTCTCAAGGCCATAGCATACCTTTACTTTGAACTTGCTGGTTTTCATCAATACACAACCCCCTTAGGAAGTGAGCCTCTTGTACGGCCTGTAGCAA